AAAAGTACACAAAAAAATGAGGAATTTCAAATAGTTAATTTGATACTAATATCGATATATTTTTGTCAAATTTTTATGATATCGTTAAACATATATTTTATTCAAAAATAAAAACATCATCGTTTTCTCAAAATCACATAAAGCCATATTATAACATCGACTGAGATAAAGAATAAAATAAAATATTAAAAATACGATGCATCTCGCTGCATTGCGCGAGTACGCTTCTAGTTATATTATAATGTATTTGACAAAAAAAACTCTTAAAAACCATTTTTTAAGCATGAAGTACCGTTTATTGATGCATATTACTTAAAATTCAAGATTACTTGCGTAAGTATAACATATAAAAGCTTCGTATTTGAATTCGTATAACTAACTGCAGATAAACATAATCAAATAACGGATAAACATCTCATTTTACATATAAAAAATCTAAAATATAATTAGGATAATCATTGAGTTTTAACAAACTACTTAATTATTATATTTATAAAAAGTTATATTATTAAATAAAAAATAAAAAAGTGAGTTAAAGAAATACACAAAAAAAGAAAAAAATTTAAATAGTTAGTTTGATACTAATATCAATAATTTTTTTTCAATTTTTTATGATATATCTTCATATTTATATTTTATTCAAAAATAAAAAATATTATCTCTTTTGCAAAACCACATAAAACTGTATTATAACATCAACTGAGATGAAAAACTGAAACATTAAAATCGAGATGTATCTCGCTGCATKGTGTGAGTACCCTTCTAGTTATATTATAAAACATTTGACAAAAACTCTTAAATACTATTTTTTATGCATGAATTACTGTTTATTAATGCATATTACTTAAAATTCAAGAGTACAAGTAATTTTATGTAAATACAACTCATTAAAGCTCTATTTTTAAATTTGTATAACTAACTGCAGATAAACATAATCAAATACAGGATAAACATCTATCTTAAACGTAGAAAATCTAAAATATAATTAAGATAATCATTGATTTCTAACAGAATGTTTAATTATTATCTTTATAAAAAATTATATTACTAAACCCAAAATAAATTACATTGTTATTAAATCTAAATTGAATTATAATAAAAAAAAAACAGAATTAAAGAACTTATACCAAAGAAACGAGAACTATTAAATAATTAATTTGATATTAATATCGATTTATTTTTTATCAAAATTTTATGCCATCTAAAAATTTATATTTTATTCAAAAATAAAAACATTATCGATTTCTAAAAACCACATAAAATCGTATTACATCGATAAAAATAAAGAATAAAAAGTAAACATTAAAATCGAGATTTATCTCGCTGCATCGTACAAGTACCTTTCTAGTTAATATAAATCTAGTGGTTGGTTTCTTGTCCTTTTGTAAAAAAAAAAAAAGAGCATTTATCATCTTAGCCATTAAAGTCTTGTATTAACATTTCAATTCCAAAAATAATATGATGGCATTTAACAGACTTATGACAAAACCATGAACAAGAACACAAAGATTGCTTCCTCAAATCATTGATCTTCTGAATGTTGTTAAATATGTCTGTACAACACTAACATTGAATTATTGATACAGATATTTCATGTATACATAGCAATAGCAATAGCAATAGCAATAGCAATAGCATTCAATGCCAGCAACCAGTTTCTCCACCTTCACAAATCTTCATTTATGCTGTCTGATTCATTCATTCTTTCTTAACAAGCACCCCCAAACCATCAAGAAATCAGTCAACACCATGTCATCTAACCGCCGAAAACTCGACCCTAAGACACGCATGGTCCGATAGTGAATACTCTTCCGGCCACAGTCCATTTTCGGCTTCCGTTGGGAACATTACTGCATTCTTCACACTCAATCCTGTCGTCTGCTGTGTACCATTCGCAATGTCTTCTTGATCCTTGATCGTGTTTTCCGTTTGGTAACTCCACATAGAATTCCATATTTGTTGCTGAATGTATATATACACGTGTAAAAACCAAGAAACAACTTCAATTACTTGTATGCACTTGTGCATACCATTATATATATATATATATATATATATATATATATATAGGTTTATATATGCATCGTAATAGAAAAACAAAATAAAGACTACCTGAAATTCTTTATAATCAAGAACGCCATTTCCATCGATGTCTGCTTGAACCCATAAGTCTTGTGTTTCGTCTTCGCTAAGCCCATACCTATGGCCGATGAGATTAAGCTGCAAACGAGAAAAACAAAACCCAACTCATGATTCTGACAAAAGATGGGTGCCTTTTGTATTCAGACAAGATTATTTCAGGAAACCTGGCGTAATGCTTCACAGAATCCCAAGTAAGTAATATAATCGCCATCGCTCACAGCCTTCAAAAACGCGAAAGCATCTTCACCAGTAAGCGAGGCCCGACTCACTAGATACTGAAAAGACAAAACCCGATTCAAAACTACATTTCTTGTTCTGTGACCATAGAAGAAACAGGAAACGATGAAAATGATGATGTCGGGTACCTTGAACAACCCGAAAACTGCATCACTCCAGCTTGATCGGAGTACCTTCCGATACTTATTTGGATCAAGAAGCCATATGAAATCGACACCACATATATTTCCCCGATGATTTCTATGGCTAACCCACTGCGTCAAAAATAAACAATTGGATCGATTAGAAACAAGTGGCGTATAATCGTGTATGCCTGAAAATGGAGATGTTCATCTAAACCGCCAAACCGCACAAGCAGCCCACAACGCACATCAAAGAGCGGTTTAGAACATCTGCAGTGCGTTTTGCATTTTTACCAAGCCGCACTATGTGGTGCAATTTACGATTTTGAGTTATCAAACCATGGTTCAAACTGCACCACACATTTATATATATACATATATATATAACACTGCACATTTATATATATACATATATATATATATATATATAGGATCGTGTAAAAAAAAAAGTTAAAGATGAGAAGCGTAAGAAGGGATCACTATTAGATGCACAATCCTATCTATATATCTATGTATATATTTTTAATTTACAACGTGTATATACATACATATATTTTTACTTTTATCTATAACATATGTGTGTGTATATATAGAGAGAGAATAATTGCTAAATTTATATAATATTTTGAATCTATTTTCTTGGTGGTCCATTATAATAAGTCCAAAGTTTTGGACTTTTATCAATAATATTAATATGTATTTTTTAAGTTTATTTTTTATTTCTTAGACTATTTCTAATTACGTAATATGTATTTGGAGATCGGACATGTTGAAACTTTACACTTTTTTTTACTATCACATTATCGTTGATTTTATAATATCGAATTATATTCGTAAAATGCATTAGATACAAACCGTAGAAACGGCTACGCATTGCACAGTGCGATTTTTTGCGGTTTGCGGTGTATGCGGTGCGGTTTAGAAAATATGCTCAAACCGCATATGCGGTGCTGCTTGCAGTTTTGTCACAAATCGCACTGAGAATGCCCCTACTTGTAAATGATCAAAGTGATGAAAATATGAACATATATCGACCTTATGTGCATCAGCATCGGTATAGTGATGAGCAGTATCGTATGATGATACAAATCCCTGCGATCTTAGAAACTTGTAAACATGACCGCGCTTGCTCCCATTCCAGTCACTAAAAGCGATAAGAAACACATGGAGTTTAATAGCGGCATAGCTCAAAGTGACACAACAAAATTGACTTTATAGGACGCCTAAATTGTCTAAGCATATCATATCATAATACTTTATAAAACTTAGGTTTGTAGGATCAAACTATAAAGTGTCACATCCAAAAGTATTACAATAAGTTTATAGGACGCTTTCAGGCGTTTTAACAAGGCTTTTTTTTTTACGATTTAAAAAAAAATGTCATATTAGCTATTTTATAGGACACTTTTTATAAGTGTTCTATAAGCCCATCTTTTTATATGACACTTTTTCAAATAGTGTCGCATAAAATAGTTAATACGATACTTTATTTTAAAATTGTCCTAAAAAACTTGTTAAATGTCTAAAAGCATCACATAAACCTATTTTAACACTTTTAGATGCTACGCTTTTTGATTTGGTCCTATAAACTTAAGTCATAAAATACCTTTTTTAGGACGATGAAATCAATTCTTTTTGTAGTGTGCTTAAACATTGAACATAAACTAACGATCACATTTAAGGCTTACCCGCAAAGAACGATTGGCAAAGGATTAAGATTGTTTTCTTTCTGATAAGCATCGACAAATTGCAAGATTTTGTACACCTATCGAACCGCAAGATCATGCGATTAAGCAGTCGAATTAAGAACCGAAATAATGAAGGCTGAAGATGGTTTAACTACCTGGCGCAATCTTTCCAAACACATACTCGAATCGTGTGGGAATAACAAGTGAGTATTAACAATGAGCAGTTCACGACAAACATTCTTGGATCGACTTTGTGGGAAGGGTGTAACCAGTTCAACATGCAAAAGCTGAGCAACACGATCGCCAAAATCATTGAAGAGGAAGTCTCTATGGTCGATAACACGAAAATAGTCTTTATGCACAGCAATTAGCAAGCCTGTTATATAAAGAAACCAAAGAGTTCAAACAAAGTTACAATCTTTTGAAGAAATCTTGATTCGGGTAGACCATAAAATGAGTAATCGTAATATTAATAGCATACCATCGCCACGACCATTGGTCCGTGGAAGCTTGAAATTGATATAACCTGCATCCCCAAGCCTTGTGTCATACATTTCAACAAGTTCTTCATTGGCAACCCAAAATTCCTAATGAATTAACAAATGAGAACAGTTTTTGAGATTGATCGAAGCAAAATCAAACAACAAAAAAGTTTGAAAACATGAAGATTTGAGAATGATTCAAGATTTAAGATTCAAGACCTGGAGACAGATTATAGATGATCTTTCACACAACAGAAAATCCAAGATCCTTTCATTCCTATTCAACCAATAGGACCTGATATCACTTTCTTTGCAAGCTCTACCCTGTTCAATTTCCGCCAAAACAAGCATATTTTCGAATTAGAATCAAAACCCGTGAACAAAAACATCAAATAGGGTAAGATTATGAACTTCTTTTGGAAGGGTGTCCTAGACTCTGGCCCTGATAAACTCAGTGGCCACAACAGTTGTGTGCGGCTGGAATCGAACCCCACCTCAACCACTGCGGGATAACCCTTTTGGTTCCCACTACAAAAAATGGGAAACAAAATGTACCCAGATGATAAACAAGATCAACATCAAAAGCACTAGACGTTTAGAATAAAAGACGATACCTTTCTTTATTTTAGTTATTATTTTTGAATGTAGAACTGCAAAGTTAGAATGTTAATAAGCGCAGTTCAAATTAGAATCAAAACCCATGAACAAAAACATGAAATAGGGTAAGATTATGAACTTCCCACTAAAAGAAAAGGAAAACAAACAGTACCCAGATGATAAACAAGATCAAATGAAAAGTTAAAATGTTAATAAGCATATTGTTCGAATTGGAATAAAAACCCATGAACAAAAACATCAAATAGGGTAAGATTATGAACTTCCCACTACAAAAAACGGAAAACAAACAGTATCCAGATGATAAACAAGATCAAAATCATAAAGTTAAAATGTTATTAAGAGATGACAGATGGATTAGGGATCTGGGTTTTACCTCATGAATAAGGCGTTTGTAAATTGGAGCAAGGATATTGAAGGTTGTGCATGAAAAACAAGTTGGGTCTCCAATGGAGGAAGAGATCGCATAATTACCCATTACTCTTAATGCCCTTCTCTTCGCAATTCCTCTGTGATTTCTTCCCATGATTCCAACCTATTTCTTACGATGATGTGTAAGAAATCATCGTTAATCACGATATGGGTGATTATGAAGGAAGACAACGGGTTAGCTTGCATCTATATATGATATAAAAGGCTTGGCGAATGGAGGAACAGAATCAAATTGTGTGGGGGCAGACTGGTTTCATGCCATCCAACGAGAGGAGGGGGTTAATATCATCTGGGTTTGTATTTGTATGCGAGGGGAATATGAACAAGATGTGCGGTGGGTTATGGCGCATAATTCGCTTTCAATTCAATCAAAATGTGTGGTTATATCGTAGACGAATGACATCTCATTCTATTGCCATTCAATATTAGTAATATATCTTTATTCGGTTTAGTATTCGACAGGTTTGTTATCGCGACTTACATCTTATTCAGTAAGTTATACATGATTACTTGACAGTAACTTAATGATATAGAAAACGACTTATTTCATAAGTTTCTTCATAAATTTTTTATAAATTATCTTAATCTATACAGATAAATTAATCCAAACAAACAACTTTACTCATATGAGATTTAACGAAAAATCAACCAAACAACTCCTTATTTATAGGAAAAAAACACCAATACTAGAAACGCTCCTTATTTATAGGAAAAAAAAACACCAATACTAGAAACACCGGTTTTTCTTGATTATATGAAGAGTTAAAGATATATCTAAATCATAAAGAATGAATTCGACTAAACCAAATTGTCTCTTGGGTTATGGTAAAAGTCCACCTTTTTTTTTTCTTTCTTCTTGTTATTGTTTTAGATTCTTTGAAAAGTTGCGTTTTTTGTATTAGAAACGTCATCGCGCAATGCAGCGAGATAAATCATGATTTTAATATTTCATTTTATTCTTTATCTTAGTCGATGTTATAATATGRCTTTATGTGATTTTGAGAAAACGATGATGTTTTTATATTTAAATAAAATATATGTTTGAAGATATCATAAAATTTTGACAAAAATATATCGATATTAGTATCAAATTAACTATTTGAAATTCCTTATTTTTTTGTGTAATTTTTTAATTTAATTTTTTTATGATTTAATTTATGTACAATAACGAAGTAATTTATATTTGGTTGAATAATATAATTTTTTTATAAAGATAATAATTATTTATTTT